CTTAATTGAGTCAAATAAAAATTGAATGCATCATGTGTTAAATATGACAAAAATATTAGTAACTAAGTGTGACTCATGCACATGATTTATACCACATCAGATTGTTAGCTTATTCCAATAGAGTATTAATATGTATGTTGATACAGATTTTGAATCTATTTACATGTTATTTTAGTCGGTCTTCATGTTTGTTTTAAAGTGAATAAAATGGTGGAGCTGAAGTGACTATAAGGGGTGAAGGAGGTCACCATAAAATATTTTTTTCTGTTATTTTTCTTTGTCTTCCCATAATTTAATTTCAAATGTGATACACTGGCCTTATTTGATACTATATTTTGACAATTATACCCAATATTTCCTCCAGAAATTTCTATATTTTCATCAAATGTTCCTATATTTTCAAACCCCAATTCCTATTTTTCCTGTATTTTTCGTAGCATAGGAGGCTGGACGCACTGCAAAAATTATAGAAATTAGTTTTTATTTTTTGTTCAATAGTTTACTAAGATTTAGTATATAATGATACTGAAATATTCTAGGAAATGGAAAATGTGTTGACTGAGTTTGAAAAACAGTGGGAAGCAGGAACCTTTCCCGGTTGGCCTGTAAGTTGATTTAATGAATTTTTTGTAGTTATAAAGACTTTGCAGTAGTTGGAAAAAGGTTGCTTGTGAATTAAGGAGTACTGAGGACAACTAAATAAATACAGTTGAGAAAAAAGAAGTTTGAACTGGGTATTAAGTAACAATTTTACACAAGAAAACAGTAGCAAATAGAGAGCAAAAGCAAGAGAATTTAATTATCCAAAAGCTTCTTTTTTCACCTTGAATTATTTTTATTTATTTGTCTTACAGGAAAACATGAATACAGGATTTTATGGATAAGCCCTTTTTTCCGTACTATTTTACCATTTTCTTTGTAAATGTATATCTTAGCTTATCTTAATTTTCAGTGTTCTGGAAATTTATTTATTTGTTTGACTTTAAACAAATACCCTTGGATCCTAAGTTACCTTTATGCAAAACTTGTGAGAAGTATGGGTCATGGTAGCCCTCAACATCAAGTGTCTTGTAACATCGAGTGTTTTTAAACTTTGCTGTAGGTCTGTTTATCTGTAATAAAGTTGATATAAGTTGGTTAGATTTGTGTTAGTAGGTGAAAAATAATAATAAAAATTCTTCAAGGGTTATGCTTGCAAGCAATAAAACATTAAACTTAAGTATAAACAGTTGCATAGTGTTACAAACTTTAAGCTATTTAGGATAAATAATTGTAGTTTCATGTTACAATTTGCAGTCATTCTAAAAAAAAAAGGGATAATTTAGAATTGTTTTGTATTTTTTATAATGGTTATGAAGTTGGTCAAATAGACCAATTGTGTTTAGAGTTAGGGTAGAGAAAATAACAGATAAAATGTAATGTTTGATATTTGTTTAGGAGGTGATAAAGATTACACAAATAAAATTTGAAAATTATGTGCTGAAGAAAAATATTTTTAATCTTAACTCTCTCAACACAGGTTTGGTCAAATTGACCAACCACATGACCTCTTTTTACTCGTTCAAAGTTCTTATAGATTTGATACTATTAACTTTTAATATAGTGTGTATATCTTCACTAAATTTGGCAGTCTTTCAGTAAACATTATAAGTCTTTAACATACGAAAAAATCATTTTTCAATGAAATATTTTTAATAAACTTACAAAAGATTTGTTCTTGAATATATCAAGTATTTGTTTTCAGTAGTCCATATGCAAAGTGATTTTCATGTGAAGATTAAAAATCTCAAATTTCATTTGTGTAATCTCTAAAACCTCATAAATACATTTCAAATGCTTATTTTCAGTAAAACTTTATATTTTATCTGTAATTTTCTCTACATTAACTCTATACAAGGATGGTCAATTTGACTGGCTTCGTAACCACCCCAAAAAAATCTCAATTACCCTCTTTTTCTTTTTAGAATGACTTCAAATGTAGCGTGAAACTACATTTGTTTATCTTAAATAGCTTTAAAGTTGTAACAGTATAAATATATTTATAATTAAATTTTATTCTTTTATTGCCCTTTGAACCATGTCTAATTACTATTTGCACCATTATATGTTGTAAGTTACATGGAGAAAAATACAGCTCATGTTACCCTATGGAATTACATTACCCATGAACTACTCCGAGCTGCTCACGTGCATGCCTCGTGAAAATTTTTATTATATTATTATTGTTGTTTATTTTACCTAATCTAACCTTAACTAACCTAAGGAGATCCCAGTTTTTACATTTTAGTTACTTTTATAATAATAAATAAAGAATAAACATGAAAAACAAGAAATAAAGTATTTACCCAAATCTTTATTTTTTTCATGCTGTTGATTGTCGATGACACTTAACCCTACTTTTTTTATATTGATGGTGGTAATTCACTAAATAATTTTTATTTAATTAAATAATGCACCAAAGAACATAGGCTAATAACATGCATAAAGCATACAATTTTCTCTAACAATCACAATTTTTCTGGTTTTCTAACTGTGCATCAAGAGCCATAACAAGTTCATCCAAGTTAGTTGTTAACTGTCCCATGGGAATGAACCATGTATTATAAGTAAAATTGATGCTTATATGTTCAGAACACTGTTATACATCATTTGATAGATGAAAACCTTGGGTTTCTATTGGTTATAGGTAATATATAAGTAAACGTAAAAGAGAAGTATTAACAAATCCTGAAAGAGAGGATGTGACAGGTGGGTGTGGCAGGAGGAGTATAATTTTCTATTTGATAGCTCTGTAACCAAAGAAAATTGAAGGCTATAAAAATTATGGTTTGTCTGAGCAGTGATGATTTTATAGTGAGTCATTTAAATTCAATTTCTTACTTTTTGGATGGGTTATGGATAAAATAGAGAAGAGAAGATACCTAGAGAAAGTGTGTCACACTCGGGGAAATTCAAGATTTGTTTAAATATTGCCTTATAGAATTAAGAACTTAAAATTTATGTACTATTATAATATGGATTATTAACTACTTTATGCTATTCTAATTGGTATAACATAAATAGAAAGTAGTTTAATAAAATTTTGAATGTAAGACAGAAAAACCTTGTGTCATGCACAGTAAAGGATACCTATGGAGATAGGGTTAACATGAAAATCACTTTGCATTCGAGCAATTAACACTATTTATTCACAGACAGATATTTAGTAAAAATACTTAAATAATAATTAAAAAATCAGATTTTATGTGTACAAAAGACTTGAAATGTTTACTGAAAATTTGCCAAATTTTATGAAGATACACAAAACAGATTAAAATTATTATATGGAATCTCTAATGGTCACTTTGTGGTCAAGAACTCAGTCAAATCGACCAAGCCCATAGTGAGAGAGCTAATCCTTTCTATATCTACTCCCTCTTTGCTGTACTATTATGTAAATAAGAATGTTAAGTTTTATTCAAGATGTGGTGTTTTATGCAAAAAATAGCTGAGATGTTACTTAATTCTAACATTTCAGTTACATATACGTACAATAATGTCTTGAATTATTTTTCTTGTGGATTTAGAAAGAAACAGGAAGTGCATTGACGCATGTAGGTGCTCATCTTGACTTGTCAGCTTTCTCTTCATGGGAGGTAACTATATTTGACCATATTGTTTTGTTTTTCTTTTATCTTGACCCATCAGCTGTCACTTTGTGAGAGGTGAGTATATTTGTTTTATCTTTGCTTATTAGCATTTTCCTTCTTTGAGAAAATTGTATTTTATTTTCATATGTCATCCATCTTCTCAGGAAAAGTTTAATTTACTGTGTTTTATCTTCACTCATTTTGTGTCTCCTGTATTCTTTGTATTGTACTTATCTTTACATGTCATCATTCTTTTTGTAGGAGGAAAGTTTATTTCATTATCTTAACTTGTTAGTTTTCTCTCTGAATAAAAGATTAATTCTTTTACTGTTAGTGTAAAACAGCTTCTCTGTGAGTGCAATATTACACTTATTCATTCTAAATTTAACTGAATAATATAATTTTAAACTAAACATGATTTATACACATTTCTGAAATTCTTGAAAAGTTTGTGGAAATACCAAATTAATTTCCAGGGCTTGAAAATGTTTGAAAAGTTGTTCCTCTTGTATTAAGGTTTTGAAAAAGTCTGGAATTTCACTAGTATCTTGAGAGTATGAAAATAATTTCCCAGGAAAGGTTTGCTATTGGATGATACAAGTAGCAACTGGAGGCATTCTCCATAAACAAAATTAATAACCATTATGGAAAATCCTTAGCCACCAAGAAATATCTGAAGTAGCAAGTTGTGAAAACTTTCATGATATTTAAATAGATTCATGCAAATATACCCCATTATGTATATGAATCAGAAATAGAAATAATAATTCAGTGAAAAACCTATACTTGTATATACAAAAAATAGGTAGTCATTATGTAAGTGAAATGTTATTCAAGTACACTCACACATTCGTAAATATCAATAACCAAAGATATTTATTAAATTGCATTTGTGTTGTGTTATAATTTTAGATAATCCATTCTTTCTATAATAAACAGGTGTCGAAGTAATTATGCAAGCCTTGTCTGTCAATATATCAGGTCATTTGCTAAGTCATGTCAGCCTTGGTTCCAGCTTATTGAGTTTGATAGTTTCTAAAGCTGCTGTTGTTACTCATAATGGTAAAATCAACAAGAAACTAGTGATAATCTGCAGATTAAAAAAAAAAGTGATGTAAGGGTATTAAACTTATTGACCAGAGTCAAAATTTTGCAGGAGCAACAGGCAATTCTCCCCTAAATACAAAAAGTCCCCACCCTGAAACAAGTATTGAGAATGGAAAAAAAAAATCTCCCTCACCAGAAACCATAGTACATTACACATACTCTGTTCATGATGATAGGGAAACATGTAGGTTAAAAAAGGTCATTTAAAGACAGAATACTAAACCCTATAACTCAAGTACTTTTGAAAGATGGATCCCGAAGTGTTTTGATTGGCTTTCAAAGGGTTGTTGTAGATGTGATTCATTTTCATTGTGCAATACAACAAGAAATGAGAATGTTAAAATATTAAGAATTAGAAAGGTTTTGTTCAAAATAAAATCTCTGAGAAAACTGTATTAAGTATTAATAAAGTAAACTAAAGATGTGATAAGAAGATCAATTAGTGGTAAAATGTAAAGCTTACAGAACTAAAAAGATGCAAAAGAAATGCGGAGAATGATCATAAATATATAATAAATAAACGGAGGACTCTTCACCATACTGGCAAAGGAAATGCTATGCTCGAAACTAGCTGCCACAGATGCAATCAAGAATTCCTACTTGAATAAGGTTTGTTTCTCTCTCTTTTTTTTTTTATCAACATAATGGCAAAAAAACTTTGCTATTGCATATTATTGATAACTTTATCTTAAAGTTTGTATTTCTGTAAGTTATGTATAAAGCACTATATTGCTGGAACATTTAAATAAATGTTATCATCAGCTCAACAGAAATTTAACCAAATTTTGTATAAACTATTGTAACAATACCTAAGTTAGACTTTCTTTTGAGACATTCTGTTCTCTGTTCAATATATTCTAATAATTACATAATTCTAACATAATTGAATAATGCAGTGGAATTATTCTTAAACTTGAATAAGCCGTAAAAAATTATCAACTAGTAAAATTATGATGCATTTTAGAGTACCTTTTTTTCCTTTTACTTTCTACAGATTGACAACTTCCTGATAGTATATACTATTTTCTATAGGAAGTCACCAAAGTACCTGCAAGAGTTAAACAAAATTGCAGATATCTTCAGGTGGGTACCTTAAAACCAACCTGGTGAGAAGGAACTCAGTGGGTCGAAAACAAAACACTGACATTAATGACTTTGAGTACAATTTACCAGTAGTGGTGGCACATGTGAACTATGTGGGAAACGACAGGACATGAAGCAAGATACTACAAGAGTGAAGGGAACTAGCTGCAAGTTTGTTTTACATTTGGCTTTTAAATAAACATTCTGACTTTTCCATTTGTTGTTATGCTTCCAGAAAGACAGCATCAATGTTTCTGGTGTGATTGTTGCCTTTGAGAAGACCAAGAAATACCTACATCAGCTTGTCATTAGCTGGAAGAGAGATTTGACACCTCTACAATTGAATTACTGAAGGTAACTGGAATGATTGTCCCAAATACTGGCCAGATGATGAAATTCAGAGTCTTTTTCAGTCAGTGCTGTTCCTAATAGTTGTAATGTTGGAGAAGCCAAGGCAAAATGGGCTCATCTGAAAATCACAAGAAATACTATTTTAATGTTCTGTGGGCAAAACTATAGCATAAAACTTCAGTGAGAAGAAGGCTGACCTCAAGAATATTCTCCAGCTTGTGGAAAATATACACTTGCAACAGCCAAAGATGAGCATGTCATCTCTGTAGTGAGTTGGATGAAAACTGGCTAGTAGATCAGTAAGGACACAAAGACACTACATAACCTGATGCAGATATCTCTCAAGGGACTCTCAGAGACAACTTCTGTCACCAGATGATGGAAAGCTAATAAGTAAGCAAAACATTCACACAAGAAGTGCAGCAAGATCACCACTTGAAAGGTTAGGTGAAGAAAACAGAGATGCAGTAGAAGAGTTGGAAGCAGAAACAGAAGAGGGTATAGAAGTTATCAAACAAAGAAAAGAGAAACAGTATAATCTGTATTAATCTCACCAGATTCACTCTTTAATCTTGGGGATTATAGTTTTACATAAAAAAGTATTGTTTATGGATTTAAAATAACTACCCAGTACTACCAAACTGTCTTTTAATGGGATTTTTCATGTTTGAAATTTTTTTCTGTGGAATTTATGTTCAGCTTGTATCATTGTGGCAGTAAATTGTGATTAATTCATTTTTGATATTGTTGGCTGTAAAATACTGCAAGAGAAGTGTCTCAAGTTTTCAAGCAAATCACAACTCCATATTTGTAAGTTTACTTGTAGAGCAAATAATATTTTCATGAATTGAGGTACTTAGGGATTAAAATGTCTTGTACTCTTTGTACATAAAAAAAAACATACTTTTTAAATTTTTCTTGATTTTACTGTCAGAAAGCATCAGCTCTCACATAACTCTTCATGTGGTTTAAAAATAAGTTAATAAAAGTTATACATTTTAACATGATTGGAGTGTAAATGAATGTAAAAATCTGTTTTACAGTGCATAAAATAAAAAAAAAAACATTGAAGAAGTAGTCATCATTAACTTAAAAATAGCCACTGTGGCAAATATGACAAAGGCAACTTGTTTTCAAAAAAGCTTCCAAAATATTTTTTACTCTGGCATTCACTAGTCTAAATGTTGAAGTGACTTTCGATGGCTTATTCTTGATAAGAATGATAGATTGTGACATCAAACTTGTGTTAGTATTACTAGTCGTGGAAAATCAGATCAAGTATTTGTCACTGGTTGTTTTTACTATCAGAGAAGCCTTGTATAACATCAGATATATAAAGAACATGAGACTGCCCAGTAGTGTAGAAGGTTCACCCCCACCCCAATATTAGCTTCTGTAGCTAACAATGTACCATAAAGTTAGAGAAGGTTGTTACAGTTATATTTCAAACAAGAACTGACAGAAACTTTACATATTTAGCACAACAATGCTGAATATATTACAAAAAGCAGTAATATATGAACAATACATGTAAAAGTGCAACAGACTAGGAAATATAGTTCTTAACAGCTGTTGTTTATAACCAGTATTGACCCCAAATTTTCATATGAGAGCAGCTGTATTGCCAAAACCATGTGAATAATGTACACTTTTTGTTGTTTTTAATTTAATTTTGTTGGTTTTTTTAAGTAAAAGCTGTGATTTTCATACATAGCTTTGTTGATGGCATATAATCTGTACCTCAGTACTTATTATTCCAAAACATACTTGCCTTCACTGACATTATAGCTATTTCTCGATCTCCAGGGATCCCACTCTTTGCCCATCTAAGCATTGAAAATGCTTGCACCAGTCTTTTATACCCCACTTGAATGCCCTTGGCAAATTCGAATTTGCAAATTTCTCCAGCAACTTCAATGCACCCTGTATATAAGCACCTCATTCAGATAATGTAATCACTTTTTCTCGACAAAGCATTCAGCAAATGTTTCTATAAATAGGAGTATTATTCACAATTTATGTTGTGACTTTGAACATGGTTGGTATTTCTATGGTTATCTTTTCATTTATATTTATAAATTATATTGACAAAAAAAAACGAACCATTGGGTATAAATTCCCCAGTTAAGGTTTCTATTACGGAGGCCTACCAGATCTTTTCTCTTCCACCTCTGCTATCTAATGTTTGTCAATAGCCAAGGGAGGGTTCACTCTCAATCGAAGCTGTTTGTGATATTATCTGTTGCGATATGGAGACATATATGCAAACCGAGGGTTCTGAGGCAGCATTTTGCAAATGACCTGGGACCAGTTAGGGAAAATGTAGACTCGTTTTTTCCAGCTCATTCTTCTACTAGGTTGACATCAATAGAGCATCATTTTGATCAGCCCCTTTTTCTTCATTTGATTACTCAGGTTTGTGAGGTTTTGGGGGTGTCTCCTATTGCATTTGACTCTACTCCTTCTTTGTTGGCAGATAGGATGGAAAGTGTTTACTTGGTTTTTCATCCTCCTGATATTGTTGATCATGCTGGGAGAGTTGCTGCTCAGTTGCGAGATAGGATAGCTATGCCTTATCCACCAAGTTTATTGGAAAACATACTTTGGCCTATCACCACCAGGAGGAGGTATATTTAGATTCTCAATGGATGGATCTCCTTTTGGGCCTGTGGAGGTTTAGATTGGAACCTGTGATCACTTTAAATAGTTCCCAGTTTTCTGGATTCTTCTTACTCTCTCAAATGTCCTGGGTATTTATCTGCGATCTAACTTTTGTCTCAAGCCTATCAACGTTCCCTCCAGCAATTTGAGGACGAGTTGGGGATTTTGCTGACATCTTCCTCAGACAGGTTGTCTTCTTCACTTCCTTCCTTAGTTTCCTGTTAGAATTTATTGGGTAGTGACACTTTGTTATAAAGTATTCATTTACCATTTTTTGACCTCAGGGATCTACTAGAAGCTCCTTTTACTCCATCCCATGTTGTTTGCCAGAGTTTCTGAGACATTAGAATCACAAATGTTGACAGCCCATTTACATTCTTCCTTATCGTCATTGGCTTCACGCCCTCATGGCACTAATTGGGAGTGTCAGCCCGTAGCATTTCCTAACCCCCTTCCTTTGGTTCCCATAATAGAGTCTATCTGTATTCTTGAGGTTATTCAGCTCGGGCAGACTGACAAAAATGACATCGTTGACTATCCCGTGAGCAGGGGAGCATGGTTACCTCAATTTCTGGACATCTGGAGTTCTTTCACCAGGGATCCATTGGTACTTCATGTTCTGGCTTCAGGTGTGATCATTTAGTTTACATCACCTTCACCATTATCTGCACAAGCTGTTACATTTTCACCTCTAACAGATCAATGGCTAGTGGATCTTCGCTCCCAGGCCATAAGAGAGTTGTTAGTCACAAGGGCAGTAGAGAGGGTTGATTCAGTTCTTCCAGAATTTTCCCATTTATTTCTTGTACCCAAGAAGTCAGGAGGTTGTCGTCCAATCATCAATCTGTCTCAACTCAACTAATTTTTAGATCTTCCTCACTCTACAATGGAATATTTTCTCAACCTAAGATGGCTCTTTGCGTTAGGGCTCTGGATGACCAAGTTTGATGCTGCTGACACTTATCTGCATCCTCCTGGAGGTTTCTCAGATTTTGTGTACAAGGTTCAGGTGCTTCAGTTCAGGGCTATACCTTTTGGTTTTGCATCAGCACCTTATGTTTTTTGCAGAGTTGTTCAAGTCTTTTCTGCATTCCTTGGGTCTGTGCACACATCATTATATAGATAACTAGCTCCTTCTGGCACCATCCCACCAATTCGCAGAACAGCACTCTCAGATTCTCCTTTCAGAAGTCACAAAAGTGGGCTTCATTATCAGACTGAAGAAATCTATTTTGTCACCAGTGCAATATCATGTCCATCTGGGTGTGTTTTTCAATATTCACATAAATTGCACTCAACCAACTCTCAACTCTACTAGTGGAGCTCCGGGGTCCTTACCACCCCCAATTTCCAGTCACTAGGATGGCAGACAGAGGCTTTTCCTCCAGAGTGTTTGGGTATGTTCCTCCACTCTTGAAGAAGAGGGCAAAGTTGGGGGGCCCTCTTTCGTGGGTCCCTGGATGTCTCTACCAGATATCAGTAGGAGTAGCACCAGCCTCCATGGGAGCCTACTCGTAATTACGGTTCAGATTTGACACAAAGTATCAGGTTGGGGGTGCATGGCCCTTCTCTTTAATCAATGTCAGTTTTGTATATTTTTCATGGAAGGAGGTCCACTATCTCCTCATAATTCCAAATGTGAAGTGGTCCCATCCTAGGTCTTTGGTTGAGCACAGAATACTATTTGCCCTCTTGGTTGAGGAGTGAGGATAAATGTTCATAATTCCATACCAGATGAGTTCTGTTCTTTTGTTTGAATATGGCATACACAATCCCAACATTCTGAGTCTGGGGTGGAGGAGAAAGTTTGTCCACTTTGGTGTTGCTTAATTTCTCATTGTGACCCTGGTGGTGAGAAACACATCACTTAATGGCTACAGGTTGGGATCTAATCAAAAGTATATAGATAATATTGCAGTTGAATAGCCCTAGCCACCAACGTGGGATATGAGTACCATGACCCCTTAATTCCAGACCTGAGTTGTGGAACCTTGGCTATCTGGTCGGGGGCTGATCTATACTGATGATTACTCATATTCTATTCCACCTTTGCTATAGGAACTGAGTTCCAGGTGAAGTGTACACCTGTTCTGGATGTAGTGCGGTTTCTCCACTCTTGTGCCATCTTTATCTTGGTACACTTCTGTTTTATATAGATGCTTTCTGTATGGTTCATGCCTGCACTGGCCCATCCACCTTCTAAATGTGAGATTCTAGCTATAGTGTCAGTGGAGGCAAGTATGTTTTGAAAGTTAACATTTTCCTAAACTGAAAATGTATTTCCAATAATACTTAGCTCCACTGACACTCTCCCCACTAAAACCCGGTTTAGAAAAAGTGATTAAATTATCTGAATGAGGTGCTTATTTACAGTACCTAGATAGAAGGAGCATTGAAGTTGGTGTAGAATTTGATAAATTAGAATTTTCCAAGGGCATTCGAGTGGGGTATCAAAGACTGGAGCAAGCATTTTCAATACTTAGATGGGCAAAGAGTGGAAACCCTCGAGACTGAGAAATAGCTATAGTGAAAGTGGAGGTAAGTATTATTGGAAATACTGTAATTGGCCCAATAGTGTTGCTGTTATTTTATTTAATCAAACCCTTCACAACCCAACTGTGGAGGAATAGCCTTACAGTTTTGTTGCTAGTAATTATCACTTTATCTAAAAGTGTATAGACAGAACTTTGAGCAGGAATGTAACTGTGAGATGCTGCTCTTTGGACTAAAACTAATTACAATCACAAGAGGTAATGTATATATCACTTGTTTCAGTAGACATGTATTTCAGAAACTGTTGATTTTCATGTGATAGATATATAGTTTCTGCTTGTACAGGGACATCTGTTTCTGGTCACCATGCAGTACTTTATAATATTAATCTAAAACTTAAAAAGATAATAGTAAGTTGCAAGTGTAGAGGAATGAGGATGACAAAAGACTTACAAAACATCATCCTCTACACTTGTGTATTTTACAACCGGCAGTTGTCATCCATTCCAGCTTACTTTTCAATTAATGTGCATTTTTATTTTCTTATACTCTACACACTCAAATACCTCAAGAATACCTACTTTTGTGTGTGTGTGTGTGTATGTGTTGTTTTTTTAGCAGTTGTGTAACTTATCTGAAACAGTCAACTTTCTATGGATAAGAAGAGGGTAGGTATGATATGTTTTGTATTGACTGTTTTAGCTTTCTTTTTATGAGAGGTAACTGTATTATGTTTTAACTTGATGTGTCAGATTTCTTCTTATTTATTTTGTTTTTGGGAATGAGAAACTTTGATTATTTATAAAAGAAAAACGTGTTTAAACTTTATGGGATCTTTCAGTACTTTCTATCTCATCATCTAGTAACGTAAATTAATTTAGGTATGTGAATAATAAGATGACTGCATACCAACTGTTTAATAATTATTTATGTATAAATAATTACTTAAAGTTTGTTTTAACCTTTATTGAATTTTGTAAAATTAAAAAAAAACCAATAAAACGTTTTATAATTGTATGATTGTAACATTCAATTTTCTTTTATTTGGGTTGTGAAAAATTATAAGTTGACATATTTGTGTGCAACCATTAGAGGTACTGAAGTGTATATTTTAAATAAAGAAACTTGTAAGTTTATTGTTGCTTTTGTTGTGTGTGTAGTATTTTTCATTCAATGACATTTAATTTTAATTAGTCTATGGAATAGAAAGTTAAATAATTTTGATTTTTCAGGAGTTGGCTTCACTTGGATTGGATCGTCTTAAATCTGCTTTAATGGCTCTTGGGCTAAAGTGTGGAGGGTATGTACTAAAACATTTCAGTTCAGGTGAAGAGAATCATAAGTTTAGATGCATGTGCAAACTTAAGCATAGCAGATAGTAAAATTCAATGAGCAAGTATAGTAGCTAAGGAACATACATTCATATGTTTTAGATGAAGTTAATGAATTGTTTTTATTTTTATAAATATGTTTACTTTGAAGGGTTGAATGTAATTAGTAGGTGTTTAAATAATTACCCTGAAATGATTGGACTTTATATAGTATACATATTTGATAAGGTGTACAAATATTTGGATTGAAGTTACAGTATAATTGTGATCATTCTTATGTATCTATGTTTAGATATATTTACATCAAATTTATTGAAATGCAGATAGTGAGCATTTTTATTTGTCCACATAAATGTGGTTAGACTGAAATGGTTGGGATATAGATTATAGATATTTTTACTTGTCCAAAGATATGCCTTTATAAATTGAACTGCTTGAATTATATCAGTAGTTTTTTTTTTTTTAATTATCCAGGCATAAACATGGTTACTTTAAAGTAGCGAAAATACAAATAGGTGTTTCTTATTTCTCCGATATGCACAGGATTACTCCAAAATATTTGAGATGACATCTTTGATGTTTGTATTTTCTAGTTGTACACTGAATTAGATGTAAATATTAGGTGGTTTTATTTTATTCATTTATAAGGATTTTAACATTGAAATATTTGTGAAGCAATAAATATAAAAAAAAAAGAAATATAATAAGCACAGCCACTTTTCTGTTCTTGTATATTAAACTTGATTTTGCCCTGGGTGTTTGACTTAACATGTGTATGGTGCACATCTGTACTGTGCTGATGTTATACAGGAGAACCATGCAGAATTTGTAAAAAAAAACATTACATATAATGTACTAGCTACTTGTACTGATTTTGGTCCATATGTTTTAATGTCATTTCAAGTAACCCTTTCAGTACTGCGCAATCTTCAGACTCCTTTCAAAATTTCATTGAATAACTTTACTATCAATGTATTTTAATAAAACTAGCATTATAATGTACGTTATAATTCAAAGTTTAATATTATCTAAGTTTTAAATCCTATATTTAAAAAAAAATTAACTTCAGTTTTGTTGTCATATAGCACAGGAGTGTTCAAGGATCTAAACATTTTGTCTCTGCTACTTGAATAATAGCACATGTAACAGTGTACGGGTATGCTTAGACTAGATTCTTCTCCTAACAGCCCTATTATATATCTTCTCACCCCCTGACAGTAGCCACACTCACCTTCTATACGAAGACTTGAGATTACGAGCTATATTTAAATATTTGAAGTTTTTGTTTATAACTAACAGAAAGAGCTAATTTTAAAGTACTATTTCTCAATAATTATTTTAAAACTGGAACAGAGGTCCTTATTAAGAACTGTGTCAAACTGTTCTAGCCTTGCTAGCACTTATTGTTTTTCCTCACCTTGATACATATTAGTTTGATAAACAGTTAAAGTGTATTTACAGTTTACTTTTATATTTTAGTTAATTATGTATTATTTATGTTTTAAAATGTATATTTGGAAGGTTTCATAACTTTTTAAAATATTACCCAAACTTTGCTTCAGTTCACAAAAGTTGTCTATGCGAGTGTAAAAACATTTTGCCAAAGTTATCTCTTTTAAAGATATTGTAATATGTCCCAAGGGCACCCATTGACAAGTGTCGAGATGAATAAGCCGTAAAGGACAGGAAAGGAAAATCAAACATTAAAAATTAATTAAGAGTAAAAAGATAAAGACCTGAACTTATGAATATAAACAAAAGAAGATATTTTAAGACTATTTGACTAAGTGGTAAAAGGTATGTACATATTTCTGTTTGTTATTTCAAACATTTTATTGCATTGTATAATTAGTGATATGGTAGAGAAAATGGAAAATATAAATAACTATTTACCTTAAACAAACTTCTGATATTCATTTAGGAAGTTCTAGAGGTCATGCAAATGAAATTTTGAAAACTGTAAGATAAAAAAAACAAATTTTTTACTTAACATGAAAATCATCTTGCACTTGAACTATTTATAGTCTGCAAATAACTACAATAAATAACAAATTTTATGCAGAAATAGTAGAAAAAAACGAAATTACATGTTTTACTTTGCTGAAACTACATGCCTTCAGGAAAACTGCTCTCAAGTTTCAAAGGATTTCATCCTCCGGTTTTATTTTTGGAACAAAATTTGATGAGAGTTACATAACCTTCTTACAACATATGTAGATCATCCTAGAATGGTTTATGTATCTCCTGTTTATTACATCTAATACATTTACATATATAACTTTAACATATATTTTGTTCCACAAATGGTCTATATTCATGTATTTCAATTTATAAAAGCCTTATGTTCACTTAATTTACTATACTGATGTTACTCCAATTAATCCATTCACAATGGGTGTACCCCTGACTCCTTTCTGTGGAAGTTACTGAGTTATATTAAAAATTTAATTGTCAATGAAACTAACATTATAATGTATGTTATAATTCAAAGTTTTATGTTATCTAAGATTTAAATCCTTTATTTCAAAAGAAACCTTTAACAAAATGCTTAAACTTCAGTTTTATTCTCATGTGATGCATGAGTGTTCATAAATATGAACTTGAATAAATAAATCTCTAACTTGAATCAGACAACTACACAGTGTCTTTACATGTATGTCTTAGAGAAAAACTACAGTTATTGTACTATTTACACATATGTTCCAAAGTACTTTGGCTGAGTTCAGTGGACACAAGAAATACATTTTGCTAATCCCAAATAGGTGCCACACCCACCTTCTATACTTAGACTTGAGATTTACAAGCCACATGTATTTATTTGATGCACTTGTTTATTACCAATAGAAAAAGCTAATTTTATACTATAATCTCCCAATGGTTGTTTTAAAATTGAACACATTATTAGGTACATGTAACTGCTAGTAGTAAATGTTGGCTGTTTTGTCCATGATAGCACTTACTATTGTTTCTTATTTACATTTATGTTAGTTAGAGAGATAGTTAAATTGTATTTAAGTTTTACTTCTATATTTTAATTAATTATTTATGTTTTAAAATGCGTATTTGAAAAGTTAACATTTTTAAAATATAACTCAAACTTTGCCTCACTTCTCGAGGCTTACTAGTAGTACGTGAGTACAAGAACATTTTGCCAGAGGCTTACTTATCTCTGCCAATTATACAGGTACCATTGACTTGTATCAATATGAATAATAAACAGTAAAGAACATGAAACAAAAATAAAACATTAACCATATGTGAAAAGGTAAAGACCTGAAATAACAAATATAGCCAAAAGATCTTTTAAGGTTATTCTATTGTTACGTATTGTGAATCTGAAATAGTCCAAAGCCGATATTTTAGTTAATTTACAATATAAAACAGTAAAATTTACAACAACAATTATTGCGACTAATTACCACAAACAAAGTTTTATAAACAACAATTTCACTAACTTACAAACAACATAGAATCTTGTTTCTAGTTCAGAGTCTCCTTGATATCCAGCGAGTTAACTTGAAGTCATTGTATGTACAATTATCGGGAAGCGAGCTAGCTTTGTCAGACACTGAATTGTTGGACCATCGAAGTAGGATAATATTTTCATAAAACCACTAATGTACAATGAGAATTCAGTAATACTCTCGGAAAGATACTAGCGTCCGATGAGAATTCACTGACATTAGAAATTTATAACTGTTCCTGTTCAAATGTCATAAATTTTCCGGTTGATAAGGGTTAGCAAAATCACGATTTATAGTGTACACAGTTATAGCAGGTTCCTAGCCAACTTTTTAAGCTCTCTTCCCTTTGACTCGTCGCCTTGACTGCTTTTATAGGTATGGGAAAGGTTTTTCTCAAATTCCGACAACAGTTCTGAGCTATATTTAACTGGTTAATGAAATGGATATATTGTTGATTCTTACATTCATGAATATTCTATAACCTTGGAGAATTGGCAGGAGTTTTGCCATACGTAACTAACACTGTAAGCTAGGCACATTTTTACATATAAACTCAATCCCAACAAACATTAAAATAAATATATAACAAATTCGTTCCACACAATACACATCCAACACTATAAGTTACACATATTTTTAAATACAAACTTATTCTAAACAACGTTCATATTAAAAATGACAGCAAATTTGTTACACTATGAAAAATTTAAAGGCAAACACATTTTTCTGTTTCTTAATTTTAAACATTTCATTGCTCTATATGTTGTTGATAATATCTACAGTTAGTAGTATGGTAGAGAAAATAAAATATAAACATTTACCTTAAAAAACTTTTTATATTCATTTAGGAGGTTCTTGAGATTATGCAAATGGAATTCAAAAGCTGTAAGATGAAAGAAATATCTTATGCTTAAAATGAAAATCACTGCATTCAAACAATTCAGAGTCTGAGTGCAAATAATTACAATAGATATATAACATATTTTTAGTAGAAAGACTTCATTAAGATAATCTTATCCTTTGTATAAAAACATACTCGTAATCTAAAACAAAATCTTACCAGTTTTTAGGAAGGTACATTAAGAAATATCAGAGTTACCGTATGTATTATTGCAAACAAATCCTTCCATCAATGGGCTCGTGTATTTTACATGAATCGGTTATACAAGGGTTAATATTTCTCATTTTCATTGCACATACTACATTGGTGGTGTTTCAGATAAAGTAATTTATGTGTAATGCATGATATTTGTTGATATTACTTCACATGACATGTATTCTGTTCAGAATGTACATTGGTATCTTATATTCCAGTTCAAATTATTTTTTGTTCACTGTCTTACTTGGATTTCTATACCTATCATTAATATTTAAGATAACCTCTGAACTATAAAAATATCACCAGAGGCAGGAAGTCAACCTGAACAAAAATGTTATTTATTAGAAGCATGTTTTTACCACGCATTTTGTGTTTCCTAATAAGTCACTTAATGAATATGAGACAA